CTCCTACAGTGCTGCTATTGCCAGTATCACTCCACCCCGTTAACAATAGGTGTTAATTAGGTGTCAACATTAGTCATGTGATGTGAGTATCAGTCACAGGGAGACTGGGCTTAAAAGCCTGAATTTTGCCTGAAACTCTCAGACTGAAGAAGTCTCTTGGAGAAGAGACGAAACGTTTCATTAGAGAAGAACCCGTCCAGAAGACCTACAGTACTGTTATTGCAAGTATAACTCAGCCAAGGCCCCAATGATACAGTACCAACACAAATAGGGAAAGAGACAAAAACAAGGAGATGTTGAACCCTGCTTGTGCTCACTACATACAAATAACAAAACACCAAATAACCACAGCTGAATCATCCAAACCAGTAAGTCAGGTGATGGGGCACATGGCCCTCTATGAACAATAGAGCTAATCAAGCCTATTGTTAGGCGATGACCCTCTTTTGCATGCGACTAACCTGTTTGTCCATGTGGAGGCAGGGCTTACATAAGGCTGAGTTCACCTGAAACTCATCAGACTGAAGAAGTCTCTTAGAGGAGAGACAAAATGTTTCACTAAAGAAGAACCCAACCAGTGGACCTACCCCCCCCCCCTTTTTTTTTATATTATGCATTTACCTTGCATCTTCCCATAAAACGTGCTTTCACTGAGGGACATCACACCATTTTCTTGAATCAGGAAAAGAAAGGTGCCTAAGCCTCAYCCCTACAAATTTGGTATCATTGAAAAGCCCTAAATGTCCTCTGCAGATAGAAAAAGGTGTTGATTCAGTAGCATGAAGTGGGTGAGAGATATTCAGGTTTACAAATGTCCTCTACAGAGGACACATTTGAACTACTGGTGGTCAGGGGTGTATTTAGATGTGCATTATGTTTTACTTTTATTTAAACAATGTTAATGTTCTGCATGATAAGTAATTTATTCATTTCAGCAAAACTAACAAACATTTGCTAGAAGTTTGTAAAAATATTATCACATTCATTGAAACCTGAGATCGAACCAGGGATGTAGATAGGTGGTATCGGACCGAACCAGAAACCTTTAGATTAGAGGTGACAAACATTTTACTAACAATTGCTGGAAAATGGTAAAAACACTTWTCCACCACTGCCGAAACCCGGGATCGAACCAGGGACCTTTAGATCTTCAGTCTAACGCTCTCCCAACTGAGCTATTTCGGCCTGCAAAGCCGACATACAAGCACCTATTTTTCGCAGAGGGCAACGCAGGACGTATGAATGTGGTTTTGATATGCTGTGCAATGCATACTTTGATTTAAGGTTTTAAATTTACATGTTGTGTAATTTCTTTCTCGACGGTCTTTAATGCTTCTCCRGTTTCACAGCACGTTGCAGTGTACGTAATGACGTCATCACGCTTAAGCGAATGTAGCGTCATCCTTTCTCATGTAGACGGCGGCCTTTCACTGCTGCTCTTCTTTTCTTGCAAACTTGCCGCTCTGACCTCAGCATTTCAGACCTTATTTCCCACCAACTATGGCACGAAAGTCGCCGCTTCTCATTGTGTGCCTGCTGCTTGTAGCTGCTCTCAGCTCGGAGGTTTCAGCGGACGGTTTAGTCAACGAGGATGTGAAGAGGACATTGGATCTGAGCACTCATCTGGCTAAGATCACAACGGAGATCGTGCTGTCCAACCAGGGACAGTCCTCCGTTCACAGCTTCGTGTTGGCGGTGGAAGCTGACCTGGCACCGCACCTGGCGTATATCGGAGCCTCGGTGAGCCCTAATATCAGTGAAAGAAATACTGCTAACAATGCAGCGGGTAGCCAGCCAGCTAGCTAGCGTTAGCATGTAAGCTAACTGTAAAAAAGCTTCAAAATATTAATGTAAGGTTCTGGGAAGATTTGCAGCTCGCAGTTTGTTTATTTTACGGCTCCTAGGTTGTGGATGTTAATAAAAGAATATAAGAAATTCACAAAGGCATGACTGAAAGCATTGCTAGTAGTAGTAGCAGCTTTAATGAATGATTCAGGTTTTCATTCAGGAGTTCTGCAAGCTCATGAGTCTGATAGCTGAAGATCATYAGTAATTGAAACTTTATAAATTGTATATTTATTAATGCATGGCATTCACACCAGCTCTCAGGATGTGCTTATTAAAAAAAACCCCAATGAAACCCAGGATAAATGGGGTACACAGATGTTAACTTCCGCAGGACTCCACGCTCTGTCAGTGGCTGAATGACACGTATGTGCTGGGCAGCTCATTTCCGTGTGCGACTGCGCACGGCCCCGCCCCCTTCTGCTGGCAGTCAAATACAAAGAGCCGCTATATCTATATTTACATGAAGCTCTAGCACACACAACACTGCTTTTAATTCACTTTTAAAAATGTGCTCTTGTTTGTACAGGTAAAAGGTGATGAGGAGGAGGATGGCACGCTCCAGCTCGAGCAGACAACAGTTCGGGGTCAAAGGTATGATTTCAGCGTCTTAGTTGTTATGTTTGATTGTTTATGGTTTGTGGGGGGAAATGGGCTACAGTCAGAGTTGTCAAGTCTCATTTTACACATATTTTTAAATTACAAATTATTAATCTTAATTACTCAAAATTACAGTTATATATGACACGCAAAATTTGTTTCTACGAAAGTACTTGCAAGTTTTAATGGTGCTCATTAAGAATTTTTTTGATTACAGAATTCATCTGTCACCAATGTTTTGGCTTTTCAAATACTGCAGCCTTTCACATGTTTAATTCACATTTGTTTTGGGACAGTGGGGAGTTTTACAAAGTGCAGCTGCCCTCCAGTCTGGCTCCAGGTGCTCAGCTGAAAGCAAAGGTGGATATGACATTTAGCCATGTCCTGAAGCCTTTCCCCACACACATCACCCAGGCTGAGCATCAGCTGGTGATCTTCCAGGGGAACCACTATTGGTACTCCCCGTATCCCACCCGCAGCCAGACCACACGTGTCCGCCTGGCCTCCAAGACTGTGGAGAGCTACACCAAGCTGGGCAACCCCAGCAAGACGGATGAGATTATCGAGTACGGACCCTTCCGAGACATTGCTCCTTTCAGCGAGGTAAAGCTCTGCTAAGACTCGACGAGCTTCAAATGAAGCTGCAGAAGTGGTGATTAACACGTTATCTTTGTTCCCAACTCGTCAGGACACCATGAAGATCCACTATGAAAACAACACCCCCTTCCTCACGATAACCAGCATCATTCGCACCATTGAGGTGTCCCACTGGGGCAACATCGCTGTAGAAGAAACCGTAGATCTGAGACACACGGGAGCCATTCTRAAAGGGCCCTTCTCACGTTACGATTACCAGCGCCAGTCAGACAGCGGCATCTCATCTGTCAAGTCCTTCAAGGTTCCATATTTTTCAAGTCATCGCACTTATTTCCTCTGAGGTGGGGGGGGGTATCTGTCATGACCGTAACCCTGCCTTGTCCGCAGACCATCCTTCCTGCCTCGGCTCAAGACGTTTACTACCGGGACGAGATTGGCAACATCTCCACCTCCCACCTGCAGGTTCTGGACGACTCTGTAGAGGTGGAAGTCAGGCCTCGGTTCCCCTTGTTCGGAGGCTGGAAAACCCACTACATCATCGGCTACAATCTGCCAAGCTATGAATATCTGTACAACCTGGGTGAGTTCTGATGATACGAGTAGAAATAATATGACAATTCTTATTTAAAATGTAAAAAAATACTGTTTTTTCTTTTTAAATGCACATCTAAAACGGATCTATGTATTTTATTTCTATTTCTTATTTCTTGACTGGTTTTATTGTAGTTGGAGAAATGACTGTTTTCACTTATTTTGCGTCAGTAAACTTTTTTTTTACAAGTTGAGTATCTTATCCTCTTGTTCAACCTTTTTTTWAAGATAGCATAATGTATATAATAATCAGAAGTTTTTCCTAACACTTTGCATCCTTTTGTATCCTAGGTGACCAGTACGCACTGAAAATGAGATTAGTTGACCACGTGTATGACGACCAGGTTATTGACGACATGACTGTGAAAATCATTCTGCCAGAAGGGGCCAAGTAGGTGCTCAGTAGGAAATCATCATTGTGCTGAGCTGAGTGGACAGYTGGGATGAATTTCTCTTGTTTTTCTGCTTTGTTTTAATTAGAAACATTCACTTGGAAACACCTTACAAAATCGATCGCATGCCCAACCAGCTGCATTACACGTACCTGGACACGTTTGGCCGACCAGTGTTGGTGGCCACAAAAAGCAACCTGGTGGAGCAACATATTCAGGATTTTGTGGTAAGAAAGGCTACAAAGTTCAAAAGCAGTATGCAGAATTACCCCTGATATTTGACTTATGTGTCATAGAAATCTAACTTTTACATACTGAATAAAAATCCCGAGCTGTAGACTAAACCATCAGGATTTATTTTGTTCTCCTTGTAGAGAAAACATGCTSTCACTCCTCACAAGTTTACATTTCTTTCTGGTAAAATACTTTATTTTTAATACAAAACAAATACAAATTAAACAGTCCAGGGGTCTCATTTATAAAGGATTGCGTGGAAACCATACTAAAAGTGAACGTACGGCCAAAAGGCGGAAATGGCGTATGCCCAAAAAAATTCAGATTTTTAAAACCGTGCGTACGCATGTTTCTGTGCATCTTTCCTTTATAAATCACAGCCACACGTCAGAGTTTGCGCACGAGGTCCCGCCTCAGGTTCTACCCTCTACACGCCCACACTCAACCATAAACAGTCAATGTAAAGTACCTCATGAATGTTAGTTTCTGGGCTGGCAAGTTTCTGGGCTGAAAT